CTGGAGGTTTCTTCCTGTTCAAAGGGAGTTTTTCCTGCAGGGTAGAGGGTGGACCTGCAGCCTTTCACACCTTCATCTCCAAAGCTCATCCCTCACCTGTGTGATGTGGGGTGGGGGGGATGGAAACCTTTGGAGTGGGGGGTGGGGGGGTGGATGATGGTTAGGAGCTGATAGGTGTGAAGTAGTCAGTGGTTGAAGAAGGTGAAGGTAACAGAGGGTTCTGGGCTGGGGAGGAGAGGGGGGGCTGATCATTAACCAACCTGGATGTTCTGATTCTGGCCTGAGATCATCTTCAGACTTTTCTCTCTGATGTTGTTGTTAGGGTGATCCTCCACCTTCTTCTTGTAGCTGTTGATCTCATCCCTTATTTTCTTCCTCTGTTCTTTCTGCGTTGCTCTCAGCTCCTCCTTGTTCCCTGATCTAAAGGATCTCCTCTGTTCTTTCAGACGTGTCTTCATCTCAGGGTGGATCCATGGTTTGTTATGGAGAAGTGTTGAATCTTTCTGATAGGCTTAGTGTCGTCCACACAGAAGTTAATTTCAATGGGTGATGCAGTCCGTGATACTATTGATGTCCTGTTGATTAGGAGCACAGAGCTCTTCCCTCACAGTATTGGAGGAACAGTCCCTCAGAGCTCCTCTGTTTCCTCAGACCATCTCCACATTGTGTTTCTGCACCAGAGCTTTGTATGCAGACTGAGGATAAACCAGATTGTGGTCAGAGGGGAGGGAGAGGTGATGAGTTTTATTCCTCTGCATACAGTAGATCCAGGGTTTTATTGTCTCTGGTCTGGCAGGTAACATGTGGGAAGGCTGGAGGACAGGGAGACATGGCTGAAGTCTCCAGAGATCAGAAAAACAGTCTGCTGGTGCTGTGGTTGGAGTCTGCTGGTGGTGCAGGACATCACAGACTGGTACTGCATTAGCAAGGGGGGGTGGGGGGGCATACACAGCTATCTATATAACGTGTGTAAATTGTCAGGGCAGGTAGTTGGGCCTTATACTAACTGCTAGCAGCTGCATGTCTTTACTGCAGAGCGTCTTGTTAGTTGTTCAGAGTTACACCATCTATTGTTTACAAACACAGCCAGACCCCCTCCTCTCTCCTTGGTTCTGTCGGACCCAATTTGGTGAAATCTGTCCATGTTTACATAATAGTCTGGGATTAGCGTGGTTAGCCACGCCTCCAACAGGCATAGCATGCTAGCCTCTCTGTAGCGTCTTTCATGGTGAAATAAATCTACCACCTCATTAGAGACAGATGTGATGTTGCCCATGATGACAGACTGGATGGTTGGTCTATACCTTCCTCCTGGTAGTATCACCCAACACAGCACAGCTGCCATGTCTCTTCCTATCTCGGGGATATGGGCTCGCTCCGTGTGCGGCAGTACAGCAGAGCTCTATAGAGCTCTACAGGGCGAGCAACTGGTCCCGGGTCTAAACCCGGGACCAGTTGCTCGCCCTGTAGAGCAAAACAAAGGGAGCCTGGTCAAACACGCCATTTCCGCACGCAAAGACGGCAAATAAAAGAATAAAAACAGTTTTCCAGAAAAATGTGAGCTCCTTGATGTTAGAAACAATATAGAAAACATACAAAGTCACAGCAAAAATTAAAATAATAAAAAAGTAGGAAAAGCTCAGAAAAATAAAGAGAAACAGGCTGCCTGCTCCTCGCAGGCTGCCTGGTCCTCGCAGGCTGCCATTTATATGGCGCCTGCCTCTCAAATCATCAGCACCACAGGGAGTCCAGCTGCTTTCAACCAATGAAAACACTCTAATTTTATCCCATGGCGAAGCAGTGCTTTGAGTTTGCTCCTAGAGACATTTAGAAATATATCTCTTTTCAAACTGGTTGTTGGATTGAGTGACTGTAGAAGATCAGCAGGCAGAAAACTTTACTCAGGAAATGTTTCCAGGCAAATTTAAAGAATTTATAGAATGAACTGGATGGAATAGGATCAAACAGTGTTATGAATGTTGTTTCTAAAGAAGATTTGATTAGGATGAGACTATTCCTGCTCCATAAAGTCAGTGCAGACCTTCTAGCTCTGGAGACAAACTGCTTCCAGTCTCCAGACGGTCCAGCTTCCTCCAGCTTCCACTTCTTTACTTTTTCTATCTTGCTTCTCTCAGTTGTTCTCATTTTCTAAACAGTGACTCTTTAAAGAAAATGATGTTTCTCTCCTGACCTTCTTGGCCCAGTAGGGGTACCATACCCCCCCCCCCGGGTTCATCTGTGTATTGCAGCAGATTGCCTCACTTCTCCCAAACGTTGAGATTCAGCCAGTAAAGTTCTTCAGAGATCTTAAGCTGATTTTCTTACAGAGTAGCTTTCACAGCACATATAACGGCCCACCGCTAATATATATATATATATATATATATATATATATATATTTATATATATATATCCACATACATTTTGTTCTGTGAAACTTGGTATTTTTCCATGCAGCACAGGGATGAGGTATCTTCTCAATTCGACGTTTACTACTTTCTGCCAAATACTATATGGCGGTGACAATGACCTACAAACCTGCGCCCACGAGGCGTCTAGGTATAGATGTCCGTAGTCAAGGGAGAGAAAGGGAAGCCATGGCAGTCATAGCATAGGCTAGGTCCTTTCTACCAGGAATAAAACCATTTGGAAGCAACATGTGTTCATTAGAAAAGTGCAGCAGAAGGCATAGTTTTATATTATGCCTTTGGACAGTTAGAGTAACTATCAGAGAAAAAAGTTGACAACCAGACCAGCTGTAGGTCTGTCCAGCAGGACCAGATTCTTCATTCCACTGTCAGCAGAACAGAACAATGAAATTCACTCTCTGCATTTAACCCCTCCCCTTAAGGAGCAGTGGGCTGCCATTGCGCAGCGCCCATTGAGCAGTGTGGGGGTAAGGGTCTTGCTCAGGGACCCAGAGTGGCAGTCTGTGCTTGAACTCAGTACCTCTGGATTCCAAGCTCTATACCCCTTGCAGAACTTTATTACTGAAGGCCAACACTTCTGTGTCACTCAGCTCAGATGATCTAAACATCACAATGAGATCATAAGCTTTGATCCTTGATCCCAGAGAGCCTTGAGGCCTCCAAGGGCCACCAGAAATCATGATGAAGTTCTCATCTGTTGGGTCAAGCCCATTAATCATCTATCTACCATCTCTATATGGACCAACATCCCTAAGGAATGTCTCTGACACCTTGTTGGCCTTCAGTAATAAAGTTCTGAAGGAAATGGGCCCAACCCAGTATGACTGAAGCTGACCTCGATGAATGTCTGAGAGAACATTTGGATGAATTTGTATTCCTTATTAATTATCAGTTTGTTTGTTAAAAATCAACTAAATAACCTTTATTAGGACAGAATTGTTTTGCTAGTTCTAAAGATGTCTCCCTCATGGAGGAAACTATTGGATCTGCTTTTCCCAGACTTCACTTTGAATCAGAACTAAAGATTAAATCTGACTGCAGCTGAAATCACTACTCACTGTCCTAAAAGGCACTCGATGACGTCATCGTCTGATTTGCATACTTCATGTCATCTGGCTGCAGGAGGTTCTTATCCCTCCAAGTTTTTATTCATTTATTTATATTTTGCTGTCTGCCTGAGCAGCGCAGAAAGACCGAATGAAGGAAGAAAGGTGGGAATTTGAAGAGTTTTATAGAAACTTTTACAAAAACAAGGAAATAAAATTCAGTAATTTAGTTCAACTCTCCATAACAATCAGTGGCACTATTAGTTGTTTGTCATCCAGCAATAAAAATAAAACATAAAAAAAACACAAAGAAGAGGAAGAAGAAAACATCAGTAAAAACACACAGACTGGAGTAGCAGAAGGGGAGAGAATGAGGCTATAGATCAAGTTATTTTATGTGAGACAACACTGTGGGTCATAAATTATTTTCATAGTTCAATTTAGCAAACTATGGCGGGATTAACAAAAGATTTGCATATTTAATTTCCAATCTGGATTCGAAGCAGAAAGGTTTATTTTCTCTGCTGTAGCGCAGGCCGCCTGCTCTGCATGACCATAGCAGGCAGAGACTCACTAACAGGATGACAGAATGTGATGCGTTTATGTTGCTAAAGTCTCTATTAACACAGCAAAAAGCTGCTTTTAGTGGAATAAAGGCGCCAGAGGGGTCTGATTAGCACTGATGAAACCCTGAGCCTCAGGTTCAGACTTTTATCTGCTAAGCTAATTGATCTTTAATTTCCTCTTTGTTTTGGTTAACATGAATAGGAAGGTGTGGTTTTTTATGCAGTACGGGGAACAGTTAGGGTTAATAATGAGAAATGAATGGTTGAGAAGGCGTGGCACTAATTTTAGAACTTAATGACTGTATGTCTTCATTAATGACAAAGGATTGTTCCTGTGCAGGAGAATAACTGAACCCCCGATCAGCTGTTTTAGTTACTGACTGAGGTCCTGAAGGTCTTACCAGGGGCATCATGGCTGAGGCTTTGGGAGAAACCTGTCCTCTGTAATGGTTGTGCAGCTCCACCAGAAGCTCCTCCTCAGTGTTCGAAAGGCTCCGGGCTCCAGGGACCAGCAGGGACCCCAGCAGCAGACACATCCAGAAACAAGCTCCCCTCAGTGGGCTGCTTGGGAGGGGGGAGTCCCCCCTGAGCCTGGAGCTCCAAGAAGAAGCTCCATCCTGAGCAGTCTGTGGGGTCGAGGCCCCCTGCAGTTCAGAGAGGCTCCAGAGGTGCATGATGGTGAACCAAATCCTGAGGGCTGCTTCCTGAAGTGTGAGAGCAGCAGTGTGTCGTCCTCCACGGTGCCTCTCAGTTCTGAACATGTTTCTATTTCTGGGTCGGGTTTAAGTGAGCCCAGAAACCTCCCCTTATCCACCCTCCCCACTCCCCCTGATGTGAAATCGATACTTTCAGAAATGTCCTGTAAACTTTTAGCTTCTATGTATCAGAGCCATCTGCTCTTTGGACCATATCAACTGTACTGTCTGTTTGTTTTACTCCAACCCTGCTTCCTCTTTCATGGTTTCTTAACCCTCAAAATTTGCTGTCTTCTGGTTCAACAAGATCTGCTCCCTTTCCTTTCATCCTGATTGATGTTGTTGTCTTTCAGTCTTGCTTTGAGATTCTTGGAGACAAACTGACCTTGATTTGGGGGTTTTTCTCCAGCTGTTTGAGGCTTTTGTTATGACTCTTTTACTCCTTTTGGGTTTCTGGTGTTTACTTTTCTATTCTATCTTTTTTCTGATTTTGTTCACTCTTTGTCTTTACTCTTCTTAAAGCAAAGAAAGTGTCATGATGTGGCAGGTTTACTAGCCTAGGTGCAGAACTCACGGACACAGAGAGGCAGGATAAAAGTCCAATATTTATTGAAAACACAGGTTTTCCTCCTGGGGGCAGAGAAGACAGAGCAGGTTAGGTTCTGGTACAGATTGACAGGTTCTGACTTACAGGTTTTCAGGTTTCAGACAGGCAGGGTGGCTCAGGCTTGCTACCATGGAAAGGACAACAATCCGGCTCAGAGGGAAGCTCTCACCCAGCTTATATGGGGAGAGCTTAATCATGAGCTGATGGGAATCAGCTGAGCGCTGAGCACCAGCTCCCAGGAGAGGATCCACGGCGCCCTCTGGTGGGCAAGCCTCTGGATCCCAACAGGAAAAACAGAAAACCACAGAAAGGGATCCACGTTGCCCTCTGGAGGGCAAACCTCTGGATCCCAACACAAAGAATAGTTGTATGGAACATTTAGGTGACAGGACAGTGCACCATAAAATGTCTGGGCAGTGGTAGCCAAATCCTTTAGTCCCTGATATAAAATACTTGAAGTTAATCTTGTCTGTAGTTTTGGCAAATGAATAAGAAGTTAAGGGTAAAAGAATACAAGCCGACAGAGAGTACTGCTAGCTTGTTCTGTTCCAACTGGAGCAGAGCTGTTTAATAAACATGGCAGCATCCGCATATGATGACAGCGCAACTGGACCGGAGCTGGTGCACGAGAGGCACCGGTGCCGACGCTGGCCAGGTTAGGCACAAACTGCGAAGGGAATCTGGAAGTTGACGAGGGAAAGGGAGAGAGAGGACGATCAGCTGTTTACTGTCTTGCGGTGCACGGACTCGACCCAGGGGGAATGAGAAGGAGCGGACACAGCGGGTCCTCCAAGAGATGGAACTCCTGGGTTCGCTGGCTGTTGGAGAGTAGGCAGAGTCTGAATGGTGTGACGGCAAGGAGCTGCAGCAGGCTGACAGCTGAAGGGGCCCGGGTATCCGGTGGGGACCTCTGCCATGCTTGGTACTGATTTGAGACTCCGGAGCACGAGAGAGCGCTTGGGACGGGATCCAAGGTGAGAGGCAACTTGAGAGGGACAGGAAACAATAATTATTCTGAGAACAAGTAGCTGTTTACCACGAAAAGTTAAAATTCTGGCACTGATCAGCCGGCCGCCCTCCGCTTAAACCCTCCTGTCATCACGTCACCGAAGAAGCCGCAGCTGTGCACAACACCCTCTGCTGAACTACCGCCACCTGCAGGAGAAAAGGAGAAGAGAAAAGGCAGCAGGCAGAGACCTGGTCAGTGATGCCCGCTGAGTCCTGACAATACCTAACCCCAAACCTAACTCTTACCAACATATACCTAACCTAACTATTACCAAC